ATTGGCTGGAGAATCCCTAGGGAGGTGTTCCAGGCACGTCCAGCTGGGAGGAGGCCTCGGGGAAGACCCAGGACTAGGTGGAGAGATTGTATCTCCACACTGGCCTGGGAACGCCTCGGGATCCCCCAGTCAGAACTGGTTAATGTGGCTCGGGAAAGAGAAGTTTGGGGTCCCCTGCTGGAGCTGCTGCCCCCGCGAACCGACCCGGATAAGCAGATGAAGATGGATGGATAGAAAGTGTTATTTTAATCTGTTCTTTCCACAATCTCTTGTCCTCTATGTTTTATATACGCACAATTCTAATCCTGTAATGAATTTACAAACAACCAGGCAGCTAATATGTACGGATTTTCTTTATATCGCTGAGGCCGTCTTCACGCCCTCGATCGCTTCTTTCTCATTTGGTTGCTTGCTGGGATGGCTGAATGTGCAAAGTGGTCAAAGGCTTGGCATAATATCACTAAAGCCAAAGATAAGAAGGGAGTGAAATGCCATTTATGTTCCAAGTTAATTTCTTGTAAGAGGGTGAATGCAACGTTAAAGGACGTCAGGTAAAGGAAAAATGCAGAACCTCCGACTGTCTTCGAGTTCTGGCCGCCATTTAGTCTCGTCTTACCAAATAACCGTCACCAAATAATACAAAAGTATAGGTAGTGGTATCAATAAAGACTCGGATCGTTAAGCAGTATCACGGTCAATAAAAATTAACGACTGCCCTCCCTCTGCTGTACTGAGATGATGCAAGGATGGTATCTCAAAACCTCATCAAATAAAACTGCGTGGTGAGGATGAAGATGATGATAGAGGTAGATGACTTTACCTTTGTAGATGTCGTATGTGTTGATGCCACTCTGAGTCTTCATTAAAGGACAGTCCTGCTCTGTCTGGCAGTGGAACAGGAAGCAGTTATCGTCACTGGCGTGTTTGTTGGCGTTGAACACAGCCATGTTGCATTTGGCACCTTCAGAAACACAACAACACGGTGTCATGGATGTACCTATGTATTGATTTTAATAGACTGAAAGAATATTAAAGGAGAACTTTTGTAGATACTGAGTACAGACATTGTGTGTGTTTAAAATAAGTACATTTTACACAGTATATTACACAGCAAAGCACACTAATATGTTTTACTAGTAAAAAGCCTGGGATGGCTCAGGTTTCATTGTGAGACATTTATATATTTAAGTATTCCACAGTTTGCACCAGTAACATGTATAATACAGCAAATCATGTGGTTTAGTGTTTTTTTAGTGATTGGCGTGGTAGTGATGTGACGATTTGCTTTATTTTGCATGATGCATTTTTTTTTCAGAAGATTTAACAGTACTGGTGTGTACTGCGTCACACAGTGGGAGATCCTTTTTTTCAAACCAGAAAAATCTGTCTGGACTCCGCTTCAAAATTAAATACCTTGAAGACAGATTATATATTAAAATACTGATAAAATCCTCCCCTCACTCGCGATGTAAAAACCTAGATGACAGGTGTTATTCTTTTTGAGATATGACCATCTAAACGATATAAGACACAGTCTTTCTTCCCATTCACTATCATCAAAACTGCTGACAAAAGTTTAGCTGCAAACACAGAAAAATCTGTGTAAAATCTGTTGAGCAAAGTCTGCGTAAACGCACAGCGTAAAAAAACGAGAGGGTAGGATTTACAGTTTTGGGATTTTAAGCATTTGTTTGAAATGCAAAGTGGTGGCTAACGGGTTAGCAACAAGCTAGCGAGCACAATTAAACTTCCCTCAGAAATGTTCTAGTTAAATATATTTAAGTGATTTAAATGGTGAATTATAGAAGTGCAGTGTCTTTGTCTTTTATAAATGTGGGTACATTTTAAAAAGCATTTAACATAAAAAGATGTTCCTTTACCAAATAAAAACTTTTTTTTCTCCCTCCACTTAAATGCATGGTGTAGTAAACCAATGGTGAGAGATGTAGGACTAGGGGGGTTTTGTCGACGTAATCGATTACGTAAATACGTCGACTCGCATCACGTGTGTCGAAGCATCGCTGCATCAGGAATTCCCCCGGACAAGCTACCAGACCGCACCTTCGACCGTCTAAAGTTTGGGAGTATTTTAGACAGACACTCAACAACGTGCTGTGAACTGGAAATAGCTTCACTGCAGCACAACTGCTGTCCACAAATACGTGAAGTATCTCGATGTCGGCCTTTTCATATTTTCTGTTTATTTAACGGCCACGTATGAGCGAGAAAACAGCAGAAACTAACATTACAGACAACAATAACAGCAAAGTCTGTGAATCGTTTCAGGTGTTTTCTTTGCTCCACACTGACATACATTTGATTATCATTCTGCATTACTCAATACTGAAATAATCCATGTCAGAAACATTTAAAGTTTGAAGTAAAGTGGCCTATTTATTGTCTGTTCTGTACTATTCTTGTTATTAGACATCAGTGATATAAAATAGTGAATAAAATATAGATTTATTGATTAGATATTTATTTTGGATAAATTGGTATGTTAATTGAGTAATAAGCAACTTTTTTTTCTTTAGAATATACAATAATAGTCTTAGATTAATTGATTTGAAAAATAATCATTATGTACAGCCCTAGAAAGACCATTTAATTAAGTAAAAGTGGTAATGTTACTTAATCACAGATATTCAGTTAGAATTACAAGTATGCATTCAGAATTTAACTTTTTAATTATCTAGTAGTACAGTACAGAAACATTACAATAAAACTTTAAAAGAATACTACACTGAATGATCAGTGTTATATGTATAATACACAATTACTCATATGTAAACAGCATTTTAATGTTGTAGCTTACATCTTGTTGGGTCATTTTCTATATCGCTGCATCATAAATTGTACGTTGATCAGATGTTTTGGATGTAAAACCTTAATCTGCTTGTTGTTGAATAAATGTAATGGAGTAAGAAGTACAATATTTTACTCTGAAATATAGAGCAATAGTAATAATAAGTACAAGTAACTCAAAGTTGGACTTGAGTACAGTACTTGTGTAAATCTATTTTACAATGTTCAGGTCAGTTTTTCCTTTCTGGAGAGTCTTAGAAGAAAAACAACTATGCTCATTCTTTGGTTTGCCACATATCTGTCTAATTTTATAACGTGACCAGGTTTTAACTGGTACGATCCGGAGCCTCTAAAATATATCTGTTGCCATGTTCTTGGAAATGAAAGCAGATTTCTGAGTAAAGCTCTCACATCTCAGCCTGAAACACTACAAAAAGCCCGTCCCTGAGTCTCTCTTTGACCCACTTCAGTGTTTTCAAAGGCAGACGTCTAGACTGGATCCCAATATGTACCTCGAGGCTCGTCTTTCTTGGCTCCCACAGGGACAAAGCTAACGGAAGTGTAGCTTGGATGTTTGGAGACATTTATCATTCTGCCTTTGTAGGAATATATTAGTGTCTTTATTTAGCGTTTAGCTAAATGATGATACAACATTTGGGAACAAGGTCTAGGACAATATTAAAGAAATGTTCCTAGAGGTCATTTATTTATTTTTTACTTCTTTACTATAAATCAGTATTGTAGAGAATGAAAAGATTATGCTGGTGTTGTACTTGAAGAAGTGGACAAAATAATTCCCTAAAGGCCTCAATCTTTTAAATAAATGCACATTACACTTCTATTTACTATGAGGAACCTTTAGAAGATTCAGTAAAAACCCAACACAGTCTGTAGACTTTAAGGAGTTTGATATTTTGGGAATCTTTCTTATTTATTTTAATGCGCAGTTTCATGAATAGATACGTAAATTCAGCTTCATCTCTGTATGTCCAGTATATAGACAAGTAAAGCCTTCAGAACATTTACTGGTAGCAGGGTGAAAACGCTAGCATTTTCAGTGTTATGTTAGATATTAATAGCTCGCTGATGTTATGCAACAAAGCTACAAACAGTTGGCACAAACAAACTAGCTGTCTGTAGCTAACTGTTGTTATGCTACAAAGCAACAAAGGGCCCATGTCCACCAAAGCGTTTTTGCCTGCTGAAAACGCCAGCTACTCTTCTGCTAGCTGTTGTTATGCAACAGAGCTACAAACAGTTGGCACAAACAAACTAGCTGCGTGTAGCTACCTGTTGTTATGCAACAAAGCTACAAAAAGTTGGCACAAACAAACTAGCTGCGTGTAGCTAGCTGTTGTTATGCAACAAAGCTACAAACAGTTGGCACAAACAAACTAGCTGCGTGTAGCTACCTGTTGTTATGCAACAAAGCTACAAACAGTTGGCACAAACAAACTAGCTGCGTGTAGCTAGCTGTTGTTATGCAACAAAGCTACAAACAGTTGGCACAAACAAACTAGCTGCGTGTAGCTACCTGTTGTTATGCAACAAAGCTACAAACAGTTGGCACAAACAAACTAGCTGCGTGTAGCTAGCTGTTGTTATGCAACAAAGCTACAAACAGTTGGCACAAACAAACTAGCTGCGTGTAGCTAGCTGTTGTTATGCAACAAAGCTACAAACAGTTGGCACAAACAAACTAGCTGCGTGTAGCTACTGTTGTTATGCAACAAAGCTACAAACAGTTGGCACAAACAAACTAGCTGCGTGTAGCTACCTGTTGTTATGCAACAAAGCTACAAACAGTTGGCACAAACAAACTAGCTGCGTGTAGCTAGCTGTTGTTATGCAACAAAACTACAAACAGTTGGCACAAACAAACTAGCTGCGTGTAGCTAGCTGTTGTTATGCAACAAAGCTACAAACAGTTGGCACAAACAAACTAGCTGCGTGTAGCTACCTGTTGTTATGCAACAAAGCTACAAACAGTTGGCACAAACAAACTAGCTGCGTGTAGCTACCTGTTGTTATGCAACAAAGCTACAAACAGTTGGCACAAACAAACTAGCTGCGTGTAGCTAGCTGTTGTTATGCAACAAAGCTACAAACAGTTGGCACAAACAAACTAGCTGCGTGTAGCTAGCTGTTGTTATGCAACAAAGCTACAAACAGTTGGCACAAACAAACTAGCTGCATGTAGCTAGCTGTTGTTATGCAACAAAGCTACAAACAGTTGGCACAAACAAACTAGCTGTCTGTAGCTAGCTGTTGTTATGCTACAAAGCAACAAAGGGCCCATGTCCACCAAAGCGTTTTTGCCCTCTGAAAACACCAGCTACTCTTCTGCTAGCTGTTGTTATGCAACAGAGCTACAAACAGTTGGCACAAACAAACTAGCTGCATGTAGCTAGCTGTTGTTATGCAACAAAGCTACAAACAGTTGGCACAAACAAACTAGCTGCGTGTAGCTAGCTGTTGTTATGCAACAAAGCTACAAACAGTTGGCACAAACAAACTAGCTGTCTGTAGCTAGCTGTTGTTATGGTAGCTGCAAACATTAACAACCTGTTCTCTCTCCCAACTCGTCACATATGGATGATTAAAACCCGTTGGCATCACTTTGTAACACACTGGGACATTGAATTGTCACTTTTAAATGCTAAAGGTAGGTATGGGATATTTAACAGAAATGTTTGGAGGTAGTTGGGGGTGACGGAGAGCCAGAAACCAGACTTTCAACCAGGACACTGGTGTTGCTTTCCCGTGTGAAACAAAAACTAAATTAAATGTTTTTAATTAAGCTACGAAGGTTACGTAAGTTGTGTAAGTTATGTTACTTAACTTCCTAAGTTAACTGACGTAAATAATGTAGTTATTTTAACCCGAACCAGGATCTTTTCCTAAACCTAACCGAGCAGTTTTGGTGCCTAGACCTGACCAAACAGTCCAGTTTGTCTCACCTGGCTTGACTTCCTCTGAGCAGCAGGCCAGGACGCAGTCCCGCTCTGACCGGACCACCCGAGTGTCCATGGCCGTCGCCGGCCTGTTTAAGGCCAGTCTGACGTTGACAGTAACGTCCTGGTGTTGTCTGGAGAAGCACGTCTCTGGTTCCACAGCGGACACAGGAAGTGATGTCGTTGTGATCATCAGCAGCAGCAGCACAGTGGCGACGAGACGCCTGAGCGTCCGCGAGAGTCGAGTGGACGCCGGAGGACTCATGGCAGCAGCAGATCTGCACTCTGTGATCAGAAGGGCGTCAGTGTCCACAGCAGGAGAGCAGAGATCCACACAAACGTTCTGCAGGACACAAGAACAAAACGCACTACGTGTTATTTACTCTTCATTTTAAACTGCAGCAGCTGACAAACGAATGTGTGATTCAGCTCTGTGACGTCAGATTACACTGCAGCACTTTAACAACCTGTAATTATAATAATGTGAATGTTTCAGCACTGTGTGAGACTTTGGCACGAGGTCCTTGTTGTGTTTCAGCTTTGCGTACCAGGACATTTTGAAAAGCTGCCAGCAGGACAGACGTCATACATATACGTCATATAACTGTAAAGATGTCATTATGTTAATGAGGCTTTCTGGAAGCCAACTGGAAGTTCAGGAGCTGTAATATAGCTACAACAGCAGGACGTTAAACTCTGCAGTATTTTACTTGCGGGTGTCGTTTTGAAGCGGAAACGACAAATGAAGCGGAGCGGCGTCACAAAGCCATCTGGAGGTGTTGTCAGATGTTACGAACGTGCCCCTCCTCAGCAGGTGAGGCTCATCAGATTTACAATACGAGTCTGGTGTATCCAACATTTGCACGAATGAACTTAAGAAGTTTAGGACGGGAATCCTGGAGAAACCAGCAGGAGACAGCCACCGCTTCATGGCTCCCTCCAAAACCACTCCCCCAAAGCACATGTTCATGCACACAAGAGTGCAGGTAGACAGGCCAGCCAATCGAGCTTTAGATGTGCATTCAGACCAAACGCAAGGGGAGAGTTGGGCGCGCCAATTCCTGCTGGGCGCTGCGCAGGACACGAGGGATGCGGGACTGGTAGCCGGAGAGGTGCCAGTTCACCTGCTGGGCGCTGCTGAAGGAGGCCTTGAGCAACCCCCAAATCTGGGAGTTCAGGGGCTCTGACATCTCTCTGTGTGTTGCTATGGGTCCTGTTTCTGCGTGTCCTGTGTGGAAATACTAACATAATAATAACAGAGTGAAAACATTGAGTATATGTAAACTTGTGACACATCTGTGGCATTGTGCTGTGTGATGGAACTGCACATTTTGGAGTGCAATACTGCTGTCTGATCAGCGTCTTGATATGCCACACCTGTGAGGTGGATGGATTATCTCTGCAAATGAGAAGTGCTCACTAACACAGATTTTGACAGATTTGTGAACAATATTTGAGAGAAACAGGCCTTTTGTGTACGTAGAGAAAATCTTAGATCTGTGAGTTCAGCTCATGATGAATTGGGGGCAAAAACAAAAGTGTCGCGTTTCTAATTTTGTTCAGTGTACCTCTTTGATGTACATTTGTTGGGATGGGAAACGTCACAGGACACTGCAGTCTAATTATGAGTCTGATTAAATACTGATATAATGAGAAAGACTCTGGCGTTAATGAAACAACACATTGTGTCGCTCTCAGGGAAAGTTCACAAACTCCTGATCAGTTAATCTTTAAATGAGTTTCTACAAGTTTCCAAACTACGTTAAGACCGATTGCTTTGTTGGATGTTATCAGCTTCGTCTCAGTGACAGATTCTACTGTATGAGACACTACAACGTCCCCGAGTCCCAGATCTGTCTCCGCTGACAACACAAAGAGAACGAAATTAGAAATCAATCTGTGGAGGAAAAAATAGAAATCTAAAAATGGAAGCTTCTCCTTCAGGAGCCGAAAGCAAAGCGGCTTCCATTTTTAGATTTCTACTGGAAGTGAATGAGGTCAGTCAAGGTTTTATTAAGGGACATTTGTCTTTCAGGTAAAAAACAAACAAATATGTTGTATTTCGAGCAGAAACTCACCAGGCCGACGGTGTGAACAGTCCTCCATCAGATGCTCAGTGGATCTTTGGGTCCACAGTCCACAGACTTCACCCCGTCTCCTGTGAGGAACAGGGAGACTTTATTTCACCTTATCTCCTTTACAGCTGATGCTATCTGACCCACTATCAGCAGGTCTGCACCTTGATCACCCTGGGGCTTCACACTGACACAACATGTTGATGTCTTTTTAATGCTTATAATAATTATTAACTTTGCATGAGAGCTTTGCCTGCGAAAATCAAAAATTTAATGACAGAATATCATTAACCAAATAAAAATAAAAGTGGAGAGAAACAGAAACGTCTTCATGCCGGACACACACTAGAGGACAACTGGGATGATTTTGGGTCTGAGGATCGTCTGGGGTGTGCGTTCTTAAGATAGCAATATTAATTCTGCCTTTATGTCTGAGGTACCCCACGTTTTTTAAATCACCACAATGTAGTTCAAGCTCAGAAATAAAGCTGGTAAGTGGGCCTTGAGTTAATGTTTTCAAATTAAAATTAAGATTTTTGTACTTGTATCAGAGCAGGAACCGAGTCTGACTGAATATATGTTGAAATAAATGTTGGATATAAAAAAACCTCACAAAATAATATAACATGTTTCATTTTGTAGTGTTTTGAGTTCATCTTGTGATGATAATGACGTTAAAGTGAAATCTAATTCTATGAATATTAAGGTCGGAGTGCTCTTTAGGAAAGTTATGACTAACCACCAAAACATTTTATTTTTCTTGCCTCCTCCACAAACCGAGAAGAATAATTCTCAGGGAGATTTTGGTGTCAGAGAAATACAACAGTATAGAGTAATCTATGTGTGAATGAAGTATTAGTTAAGAGCATATTATACAGAAGTATAATAGAGAGGAAATCTCCTGTGTCCTCAGTTGCAGTTGTTATTTTCTGAAATAAGACTTTTTCTGTTTTTATTAAAATAAATTAAAAAAAAGTACTTGCGTATTTCCAATACTATCTTTACGCCTCTCCTCCACCGCACTCAGAGGGACAACATTTTACTTTAAATATTAAGAATTTAATTACAAAACAAATAATCACTTTATAAAATATGGTGCATTATAAAAAAGTGTTTAATCTGCATAATAACTGACTTTACTTTGATTCTTTTGTACATTTTACGGATAATGCTCACATACTTTTACTTACGATGAACACTTCTGCCTCAGGTTATTTTAAATCACTGGAGTTCAAAACATCGATTAATTAACAACAATTAATAACAGGCGAACTGTAGCCATAGTTCGCCCCAAACCCGGAAAGATTCGACCTCTGCGGGCGAAAGAGTCGAGCGAAGAACACAAGGGACATGTCAGAGAAGACGTGGATTAAAATAGGTTTTTAAAACAGGTCTGAGTGATTAATGTAACAAGCAAGCACCAGCACTTTCACACAAATACACCTTTAGCTAACTAGCTGTTTGCAGCTAACAAGAACTTGGAGACACATACTTGAGCGAAAGCGAAGCTTCGCGTATCGTCAGAGCGAACAGGTCTGAAGATGCTAGCTTAAAGGCCATATAGCAAAGTAAATAAAGTGTTACACCTGTACGACATTAAACAGGTAAGAGCCTCCTCAGCAGCTCGTGTCTGGCTTTGTGTAGCTGCTAGCTTGTGGGATATTCCGTGTCCCACCTGCCTCCAACACGTCGCTGTGCTGGTTTTAATTAGAGAAAACGCAGCTCAAACTGGGACACAAAGCGACGTAGTTCGCTGAGATTTGTTTTTTTTTGTACCTTTGTCTCCACCGACGACGCAGATTAACTCGGCGCCGCGTCCATCATCCGTCCGTGGGTCGGTCTACAGTCTGAGGAGTCGGTGTTGGACCGGGAGGGGAGGGGGGAGAACCAGCAGTCCCAATCAAACCAGTTCAGTCCCAGCAAGCGAACAAGATGCTTCTCTCATCCATCCCGAGAGGACGCTGATGGATAAAAAAAAAATATCCCGAATGAAATCGTGTTTTTCTGCGTTAAATGTTCGGTAATAACCGTGTGTCCTTCCGCAGAGCGTTAAATGCAGGGAATCAAACCGGCGACATGTTGACGTGACGGTAAAAGCAGCATGTTGGTGATGAAGACCTGCTTCTTCTTCATCGCTCCGGAGTCTGACCCAGTTCAGTCTTTGTCCTCTGGAAGGGGGAGGGATGGAGTCTGCATCCTGCCGACAACACCGCTACATTATTATTACAAGGTTATTAACTAAAATCATTACATTACATTAAATTACATTTACATGCATATAAAAAGCTTCTGTTTAAAAAAAAACAACTTTAAAAATAAAGAAAATCTCTGTTTATATAATCAATTTACATCAATAATTGAAGAGGCTCAACATGAACAATACATCAGCTCACAGAGATAAATAGTTTACTTTATTAATATCCCATCAATATCCATTATGGAAGCTCAGTAACACCAAAAAAACCCAAAACATTTGTTCATGTTTAAATTGTATGGAAGCCCTTTTCTGACAGGAGCCACACACACAGTAAAAATTATGAGACACTAAGTGATGATGAGATTTACTAAACGATAATATTCTTTATTGTTATTATTTCGACTTATTGGATTAAAAAATCCTTGTTTATATAAGAAATTACCAGTCAGGCAGAATAGTTAAAAATAGTATCCTTTATAAAAGCCACAATTATCATTAATGAATTTTTTTTTAATATATTATAACACATATTTTTCACACACTGAGCCAAAATTATGCATTTTTACTTGTTTGAATTGTACGGAAGACCTTTTAGGACAGTTAGGAATGAACCCAAATAGTTGAAGATTTGATGCTTCGATGGGCGGAGACTGATTTAATCTCACCATTGAATCTTTGCAGCCTTATGAAACGAGGATCATACCATTTTGGCTAAATGGGGGAGCTCAATGTCTCATTTTATATAGAACTACCGGTCGGTTTTCTCCCAATAAGTTAATATACAACCTATTATGATATAAATTTGAACATATAATGCTGTAAATAAAAGGTCAAAAGCAGGGGCGATTCTAGGATCAGACCTACAGGGGTGCTCAGCCCCTAAGAGAGTGTAGCATCAATACAATGCATGCTCTGGGGGTCCTCCCCCAGAAGATTTTCAGCATTAAACTAGTAATTTCCTGCAATCTGGAGACATTTTCTGCTCCAATTTACGGTGGAAATGTATTTTTTTTATATGAGGGAAACCGTATTGTGTTGCATGTTTTCTTATCGTGCAAATAAACCTTTTCTCAAAGCATTTTCATTTTTTTTAGTTAGCATTTCTCGCAGAGAGAAAAGGGTCAAATGTGAGAGTCAGTTCAGCTGGAAAATCTACAGTGTAACACTGAGCAACGAACCGAGACTCTAGCTCTGCAACTTCTCAAGATTACAGCAGAGCTACTGTGTACACATACATTAGTACAGTAGTTTTACATAATGATATAAATAACACTGTACATTATGATCTAATGTGTATCATTTGTGTGTATATACACACACACACACACACACTGTATATATATATATTTTTTTTGTACGTTATGAATTTTTGACTAAGTCTGAATTGTAACACACTGATAATTATTAATTAATTAAAATAAAAATTGACTTAATGCATTTCAAATAAGACCAAATATCCATGTTTATATATTTGTAAGCCAACAATAAGATACGATTACAATAATACCAGACTACAGTAAAATTATGGATTCTTTAAGATGCTGTTGATGAATTTAAATAACTATACGTGTGCAAAGGTATATACGGTGAGAATGAACGAAAAAACAGCAGAAGTTAAATGTTACCAGCAATAAACTGTTTAATATTTTGATTAATGTGGTTCAAGAAACAAAGCCTCCGTAATCACAGCAGAGTGACGACGTGATGCTACGGAAGCACAATGACAACACTAAACCTTTGGTTAGTCCACATTAACAGATAAAAGGAAAACTAATCCAAATTATGAGATGGTTACAGAGCCAGCACTTTGATTTAATATGAGTATCTTTAATTTTCCTGGCGTTCGCGGCCTTCCATAGGTTCCTGTCACTCACAATCTTTGCATCCTTCCAGCATCTTTTCATAAAAACACACCTTGTCTGACTCGAACAGGTGCAGACGAATTAACGTCCGTCTGGGTACGAACTCAGATTAAACACTCGGTCGTACTTCAGAGTTCAGTTCAAACACAAACTCGTCCGTTCAGCTGAAACGTGCGGCGCTGCACGACTCCTCTGAGAGACGGCGTCATCCCGTCGTCCCTTCATTCAATGTCCGCCATCTCGACGTCCCCCTGGGATCCGGCAGGAGTCTTTTTCTTCTTCTTGGTTGGAGCAGGTGTCGAGTCCTGTTTCTTCTTCGGTGGTGCTGCCGCCGCCGCCGCTTCGACTGAGGAACAAACAACAGAATTAATCACCACAAAAAGTGAAACGTCATCATGAAGCATCAAAGTGAATAACAAGGAACACAAATGTTTTTCCTCTGAGCTTTTTAAGCATCACTACAGTGTCTTTAAAGTCCCTTTTCCTCGTGGTACCGGCTCAAGTCGCCGCCACCGAGGTTCCAAGCGAGCTGAGGCGATCCCAAAGTACCGATAACTTCGCTGTTGACCGTTCAGAAGGTTTCTACCAAAGCCGATTTACCACTGAGGTCTTCTCTCCAAAAATAACAGACTCGGTCAAATAAACAGTGAATAAATCAGTTTCATCCCCAAAAAAATAAAAAAATAAATAAAAATAAAATCAGCGATCCGTCCTCGACAGGGTAAAGTTGTGTTCACACTGAAAGCAGATCCAGCGTTTCGGGTGGCTTGATTACACAAAAAGTCAATGCAAAGATGCTAATTCCTGTGAATTCGCTCTGGGCGGTGCGGAAGATTTTGTCTGTTGCGACATTCGCTGGTTCGCTCGAGTTCAGATTTTTCAACTTGAGCGAGAAATTCGCTTGACGTCCAAACGTCAGCGAGGGCTTCAGAGCGTTGTTTGGAGAGGACCGGGCAGAGCGGGGGAGTGACGCCGCTCTGACAACAATTACCCTCAGCTCAGAGTCAACTGCTTTGGTTTTCACTTTAGTTTTTGGGATTATAACTAGATTTATCTTCACCGAGAGCTTCTCGAAACCTTCCGTGCACATCCGGTTCCACTGTTGTTGTTAGCGGCGGTTGGCACCCAGAGCTCTGCTGGACTACTACTTCATATTTTTATAAAAACTGGACAAACCTGGACGTTACTTGGAGAAAAGAAAGCGAGGAGGTTGAACTACCTGATGAGTTAAGAAAATGTGTGTCTAACTTTATTCCAGCTGTTTCCCTGAGCGAGGAAAGCGATTAAATCTGCATTGTATGTGAACACATAAGAGCTATCGGCTGGAAATGTTTCACTGTCAGTCAGAGCTTATGTAAAACTGGTAGATCGCAACAGAACTTTTAATTTGTATTCATCAACAGGGCGTTGCTGTTGGACCAACAAAGACCTGCCAAACTGCTGCGTTTTTATGTTCGAGTTCCTTCTTTTTTCCTTTCTCTGTGCTGGAGTTCTCTTATTAAGAACTTGACGGCGTTATCCTTTAAACAGTTTAGTGTCATCCTTTACCTTCCATACCGGCCTTCTCCTGCTGCATGTGCTGCAGCTGCTTGAGCAGCTTTCGTTTCTTCTTCCCAGACAGAGTGATGTTCGCTCTCGCGCTCGACCTGAAATACGGACAGAAACACGACATGGCTGACTTTACTTCGTGCGCTAAAACGCCAACACACGAGCATCAGGTCTAACATCTGTAAAGAGCTGACAGAATATTCTTTGACGACTGACTTTCTCTTCTTCAGGTGATGGATGGTGATGAGTCCCTGATCGACGACCGCTCCAACTATCCGATGTCTCTTCCTCTTCTCTTTGCTCAGAACCCGCCGCCGCTTGAAAAGTTTCTTTCCCAGCTCCTGCAAGACGACAATGAAATGAGTTTTAAACAAAAAGACTTCCGTCCCTCATGATGTCACGGGGGGGAATTTTTTTTATTCTTAAATTCATGTCGTGGTCACATTAACAACTTCATCTAACAACATTTCATATCACGATTATAGTGACCAAAATTATCAGTTATAAATCATCACGGTGTTGTAAATATGTGGCAAAAAAAGATTGAAATGTACTGAAACGCACACTGAAACCATTTCAAGTTTTATATTGAAAACCACAAATACAATTACCATTTTGTTTGCATAAACATTATAACAACAGCCAATACCTTTTGTGAACATATGAAAACCATCCAAGTGTGCATTACCAAGATTTTATATTATTTAGGTAATCTCCATTGACCCCATGCAGGAATACATGAAAACCAAGAAGTCTCTAGAAGACAGTGATTGTAACTGCAATGAGCCCAACAACTGATGTAAATACAGAGCAGTCTGCAGCGACTCTCCTGTTCTGACACTTTTACAACCGCTGCTGGATTTAAAATGAACAAGATTTGCTGGTTTGTTGACTAAACTGCGTAACGTGTTCTCATGTGCAGCGGACGAATAGAGTCTGTAGACACACAGCGCACACATTAGCGTTTTTACAAGCGCAGCAAACACCGAGAGCTTCGGCTTAAGCCCAGTTCACACTACACGATTTTTAGCCCGATTTGCTGCTCGGCGACCGTCGGGCTGTGATCGGGGGTAAATCGGCGGTCGCCAGTCGTTATGTGTGAGCTACTCAACAACGCATCAAAACGGTTTCCCGACACATTTCTGACACATCGCCGACGTCTGCCAGATATCTAGCACGCCAAATATCTGGAGGGGTCGGCCGACTCGACATCCACATCCAGCCAATGAGAGCAGGCGGCTTCGTCTGCTACTTTTTCAAAACACTTCTTCCTCCCCTCCAGCTCTCTGTGGCTCAGACGATCCTACCTGCTGCCTGCGTGTGCTGATCCATCCTTTCACCCTGATTCTTTGTCTTTATAATTAAATAACAAACAGCTGTTTCGTGTGCAGGTTCGCGTCATTTCCCGTTTCACATTTCACGTGTTTTCTCTTGACAAAACGTGGTTTGGAGA